CATGGACATTTCTTTTGGTACAGTGACTCTGTGTATACGTTTCCTCTTCTTTTGATACTTTCTGCATCATTCAACATTTTGCTCATGTTGTTGTTAAGTGCTGTCAAGTCAGTTCCAAATCATAGGTACCCTTTATAGGGTTTTCAAGGAGCAGCTGGTGATTTTGAACCACTAACCTTGAGGTTAGCAGTCTAGGGCTTGTCCTACAGAGACATACGAGACATACCAAAACTCCATTTTTTTTTGCCCATAGATTCTTTTATGCAAGTGGACGTTTGAATTTTTTCTTTAGTTCTTTCAGCTTGAGAAATGCTGAGCATGTTTCCCCCTTTTGGTTTTCTAACTCCAAGTTTTTGCACATTTCATTATAATACTTTACTTTGTTTTCTTGAGCTGCACATTGAAATTTTCTGTTCAGCTCTTATACTTTCTCATTTCTTCCATTTGCTTTAGCATCTCTATGCTGGAGAGCAAGTTTCAGAGTCTCTTCTGACATCCATTTTGGTTTTTTTCTTTCTTTCCTATCTTGATGATGACCTTTGCTTTCTTCCTGTATGACGTTTTGATGTCATCCCATAGCTCTTCTGGTCTCTGGTCATTAGTGTCTAATATATCAAATCTGTTCTTGAAGTGGTCTCTAAATTTAGGTGGGATATATCCAAGGTCCTATATTGGCTCCTGTGAACTTGCTTTAATTTTCTTCAGCTTCTACTCCAACTTTATATGAGCAATTGTTGGTCTGTTCCACAGTCTGCCCTGACTTTATTTTAGCTGATGATATTGAACTTTTCTGCTGTTTTTTTTTCTTTCCTATAGTCAATATAAGGAGCTCTGGTAGCATAGTGGTTATGAATCGGGTTGCTAATCTCACAGGTTGGCAGTTTGAAACTACCAGCTGCTCCACAGGAGAAAAAAGATGAGACTTTCTGCTTCCATAAAGATTTGCAGCCTCGGAAACCCTGTGCAGGGTCACTATGAGTCGGAACCGACTCCACGATACTTAACAACAGCAACAACAACAACATAGTCAATATGATTCCTGTGTATTAATTCTATTTAGGTCCATGTGTATAGTCACCTCTGTTTGGAATGGGCACAAATATGGATTTCCTCCAAACAGTTGGCCAAGTAACTGATTTATGTTGTTCAAAAGGTATTTGCAATGAGTAAGTCATGGACTTGTAAAATTCTGTTGTGCAATATCCATTATCATTTGTAACAACAAGGCCATATTTTCCAACTACTGATCTTTCCTCTTTATTTCCAACCTTTGCATTCCAATCACCAGTAATTATCAATACAACTTGATTGCATGTTTGGTCTGTGTCAGACTGAACCAGTTGGTTATTGTTGCAGTTAAGTGCCATCTGACTCATAGTGACCATCTATGGGGTTTCTGAGGACTAGCTGGTGGGTTTGAACAGCCAACCTTGTGGCTCACATTCCAGTGCTGATTCTGCAGCACCACATCAGGAGTTAGTAGAATTCTTCAGTGTCATCATCACTGGGTTTAATGGTTAATACGAATAATAGTGGTATTAACTGGTCTTCCTTGTAGGCATATGGATATTTTCCTATCACAGACAGTGTTGTACTTGAAGATGATGAGTGTATGCCATTCTTCTTGAATTTGTTGTTCCAGGCATATTAAACCATATGATTTTCAGATTAAAAATGGCTACTATCAGTTCTTTTCACTCACTAATGCCTAGGATATTTATTCTTATGCATTCCATTGCTTTTACGAATAATTCCAATTTTCTAGGAAATACTTCCCATACTCTATGTTTCAATTAGTAATGGTTATTTGCAGTTGTTTCTCTTCATTTTGAGTTGTACCCCATTAGTAAATGAAGGTCCTGAAAGCTTTACCCCATTCTCAGTATCCTAGGCAACTCTACTTTCAGGAGGCAGCTCTTCCCCAGCATTTTGAACCCCTGAGAGGTTCATTTTCTGGCACTGTTTCTGAGAGTGTTCCACTACTATTCATCTATTCATACGATTTTCAGGGGCAAAGTATTCAGAAGTTGTCTGTCTCCCTTCCTTCTTAGTCTGGAAACTCTGTTGAAGCCTGCTTACTTTGGGTGACTCTGCTAGTTTGTAAAATACCCGTGGTTTAGCCTTCAGTGTCACAGCAACATATAAGCCACCACAGTACAACAAACGGACAGATGAGTGGTGGATAGCAAAGTAGAAGAATTAAAATACACTTGTTTTAAATTTCATAATTAGTGCATATATACATTTGTGTTATTTTTTAAATCATCACACAGTTTGAAAGATAACATCTTCTATACCCACACGCTCTAATCCCATTGCTTTTCAGCAGGAGAACAGTTATTAATTTGTCCGATGTTTCAGACCTTTTTACTTTGTATTTATGTACATGTATGTGAATCTACCAGCTGCTCTACAGGAGAAAGATGATGCTTTCTGCTCTCGTATAGATTACTGCCGTGAAAACCCTATACAAGGTGGCTGTGAGTTGGAACTGATTTGATGGCACATCACCACTGCCACCATGTGTGGTGGTGGTGGTGGTTATATACTGTGCAGTCTGTTCTGACTCATAGTGACCCTACATAGGATTTCCAAGGCTGTAAATCTTTGCGGGAGTAGAAAGCCTCATCTTTCTCATGCAGAACCGCTGGTAGTTTCGAACTGCTGACCATGACTTTAGCAGCCCGAAAATATGTATATATGTTGTTGTTGTTAAGTGCCCTCTAGTTGGTTCCGACTCATACTGACCCTGTATAGAGTTTCCAAGGAGTGGCTGGTGAGCTTGAACCACCCACCTTGTGGTTCAAACTGACCTTATGGTCAAGCGCCATGCCGGGATTCATATATTTTTGCTTTTTACCCCCACAAGTAAATGCTTATATATGTGGTTCTGTCTCTCTTTTTAAAAAAATTAGCATTATCTCTTGTAGTCACATGTCAGTGGGAAAAAGATATACATGTATATATTTGCATTTTTTAAAGTTCTGTATAGCACTTTATAAGGAGCTCTGGTAGCATAG